AACTCTCAACCCATGATTACCTAAGCTTTGCAATTTTAGAATGTTCTGTCCTAACTCTGGAAATAATTTGATCCCCGTATTAAAATTTCAGGATACATTTTCTGAGAAAAAAAAAATTCAAACACATAAAACACAAATGTCAAAAAAGGGGGGGGATTCAACCTTTTTTTGGTAAAAAATACAAATGACAGTAAAATGTTAATACCTTTTATCAAATTGGCAAAGTTTCTTTTTCAAATTATGAGAGTAGGATGAAGGAAAGTAGCCATAGCTTTTCTGGAGGGCAATTTATTTGGCAATATTTACCATGATGCTTAAACCAGAGAGTGGGCACATCCAAACACTGGTGGGAATATCAATTCTGGTTAGCTCTCTGGAGGGCAATTTGGCAATATGTCCATGCCCTCTGACCTAACACTTCCATTTCTAGGAATTCATTTTAAAGACATACTCGGGCAAATGCACAAAGATGTATGTTCATGGTATTCCTTGCAATTTTGTTTATAGCTGTAAAAAAAATGGAACAATCTGAAAGTCCAACCCGAGATTAATTAAACAACTACATTCTTGCAAATTAAAATAAGCAACTGTTTAAAAGAATGGGGTAACTGTGTGTATGCAAATGTTGAAGGATGACCAAGATATATGGTGGAGTGTAAAACAAGTTGCAAAGTATCAGATATCATGTGTAAAACAGCACATATGCGTATGTGTGTAGTTATCAACACATGTACAAGTGCAAGATGTTTACCAAAAAGTTAACAGTAATTAGCTCTGGATGGTGTGACTTTGAGTGATTTTAATTTTCTTATTATGAAACTCTCTTTGGCTTGAATTTTGTTTTCAATGAGCATATATCATTTTTTATAATAAGAAGAAAACTAGTGTTAAAAGGTGGAACAGAAAACGGCAGTGGGGAAGAATTTGATATCCAGAACCTGGAATTCAGTCTAAGGCCATAGTACACAGAATAACATAGGAACTGGGGTGATCATCACGGCAACTTCATAACACTGAAAATTAATAAACAACTTCATAACACTGAAAATTAATAAACATTAATTAATTAATTAATTAATTAATAAAATTTCTATTGAAGTAAATAAAACAGAACTGAATATAATGAATGTAGAAATATATTCGCTTGGGGGGCACCTGGGTGGCTCAGTCGATCAAGCGTCAGACTCTTGGTTTCAACTCAGGTCATGATCTCAGGGTCATGAGACCAAGCCCCACCTCGGCTCTGCAACGGGAGTGGAACCTGCTTCAGATTCTCTCTCTCCCTCTGTCCCTCCAGTACCTTTCCCGCAAAAATCTATTTATTTATTATATATTTTATTATTTATATATGTAAGTACATTTTATTATTTATATATATTCACTTGGGAATATTTCACAGTATATTAAGGGTAAGTGAAACAAAAGCTAACTAAATAGACATTAGTTCTAGACACATTTTAAATGTATTCTTACACGCAGAGTAGAAAAAAAAAAAAATCCAAAAGGATAGATGCCAAAATGTATACTACGGTCGCTAGGGACTCTTCCTTTTCTTTATTTTCAAATGTCTCTCTAATGAACAAGCATTATTGGTGGTGTACTTTTTTTTGTTGTTGCTCTAAAAACATTATACAGAAATATTAGAAATACTAGAAATACTAGAAAATAGTTCCAAACCTCAGCCTCCGACCCCCCCCCCCCACCTCCAGCACTAAACTGCCCACGGAGACAGCCCCTGGGAGCCCCTGCAGCTGACCTGAAGCGCCTGTGAAGTGCTGACTGGCACCCCAACACAAAACAAGCTGGGGAAACCCAAGGTACCTATTCTGATTTTGTGTCCTGAGATGGACGGGGTTATAAAACATACCGGCTCAGATTACAGGCTAAGCATGACAAGTCTGTCTGGTACAACCTAACAAAGGAATTTACACAGAATGAGAAATTTACACATTTCATTTCCCAGGGTGGGAATGAATTACAGGAGAAAAGATCCCCTAACAGTGCCTGCCACGCTCCCTACATGCTTCTGAATTATGCCTTCCCTGCCTTTCTCACACCATTTACCTATTGCTGTAAACTAAGGTAAACGAGTATCTTGAAAAGGTGAAAAAGAGGGAGAAGTGAGAAAAGAGTGCTTTTCTAACAGAGTCCAACTTTTTATGTATTTTCAGGTGACCTGGGAGATGCCAGACCTCCCGACCTCCCTCCCTCCCATCAGGGCTAGTAACAATAGTTTTTCTCTCCCGGGTAATGTAGATGACACATTTTTCCTGTAGCCCGTCTTCCTGTAAAGTGCAGGAATTCCTGCACTTTCTGGGTGCCCTTCCTGTTAACTTACATTTCAGATTTCCTCAAAAGGCATCCTACCACTTTAATATTTGAAAAATGTCAGCTCAACCCCAGACAGCTAATATAAACAAGCTGAAAAGCATACCACCTAAAGTTACAACGGTGGAAAACAAAATTTCTTTTTAAGAAATTCTTTCTCGGAATCTCACTGCTGGTAAGGCTGGGAAGAAGTAGCCCAGTCCTTCCAGCTCCCAGAGAGTCTGTAATTCTTTTGCCTCTGCTCTGCCTTAAATTAGAGGTCTGTGAAACCGAATTATAGTGATCCAGAAAGTTCGTAAAGGTCCTTTGAATTGAACATGTTGTTAAATTCTTCAATACTATGAGGTTGTGTCCACCTTTCACTTCTGCCTCCCATTCCACTTGGTTATAGTATTACAAAGCAGTTTGGTACTGCGAAAAATGTCTTGGCCACTTGAGAATACCGTAGCTGAATTAGGCCAATTCCACCCTTAACATCCAGGCCAAGGCTTCCATGCCATTTCTGAAATGATCACCCACTTCCTTCTATCGATAATTTTCTTTCTGCACAGGAACCTCACATTGACACCAGATGTACCTTCCGAAGAGGACCCAATTAACAAAAACCATTTGGCTAACTGGGAACTGATCTGAAGAACCACCACCAGTATCTGATCTACAGTGGGCGCACTCCTGATAGAAGTGTGCCATGCTAGTATCTTTTAGTTTCTCAACTCAGAAACTTGCTTTACTAGGACAAAGCTACCTTCAGAGTGAGGGGAAAAAAAAAAAAAAGTAGAAAAGAAATCTGATTTACTTTAGACCCTAAGGTCCAAAGATAAGATCACTATAATACCATCTTCTTCATGAAACCTATCTCCCAGAGAGATCATTGCCATTTCTGTACTCCAACTGGGCCATTTCTTTTTACTATCTATACAATAATCTTGTATCATCATGATTTGCATACGCGCTTTCTAAATGGTAAGTTCCTTGAAGGAAACAGGTACATTTTAAATATTTTTGTATACCCCCAAATCCTATGCACTACATTATCTATCTATCTATCTATCTAAAATCTCATACATCCACATACATGAATATGTACAGATACCTACACACATACACATACATATTTATACATCTATTAAACCGAATTGAATAAATAAGTGTATACCAAATACAAAGTAACTGATGCCAGCTCTTTAATACATCAAAGCTTGGAATGCCCATTCGAAGCTGTTATGTCTAAGAGATTGTAGGTTTTCCCTCTACTAAGGAACATCTGCACTTCATAATGCCAATTCCTACGTTCTTCAGCACTCTGAGCTTTCCAGAGTCCCATTCTCCCTTAATGGTCAAGGAAAACACAGCCTTACTTTGAACTCTTGAGAATATATATCACCTCCTTCTTGGTCTGAGATGTATGATTCCCATCAGGAATTAAAAAGGGATTCAACAAAATGCCAAAAAAAAAAAAAAAAAAAAAAAAGCAGAAAGCTTATGAGACACTTTAATTTCACCAGATCTTACCCATGCATGTAGTCTTACTCACCTATACCTAATTCACCTCTTCCCTCCATACATTCTCATATGGCATATGCTTTCTCTATAGGGAAGGATTTGTTCTGAAACAAGTGACTTAGGGTCCTAGAGGCACCTGACAACACCCCCTCAGCTCTCTAATGCCATGTCAGAAATTTTTAAAATCCCCTCCCCAGAATGACATTAGGGCTGCAAAACACAACTGTGTAAAAAAAAAAAAAAAAAAAAAAAAAAAAATCAAGAAAATGAAAAAAAAATTTTAAAAACAACCATAACCCCGAATTTCTGACTTAGTATAGATGTCTAAATACATGAAATCACACATTTAAAAGATTTTATTATGATTTTCAACAAAACGGTGCAGTCCCCTCTTGTTGGTATAATGCTTAAAAGTACAGTTTTTCTCCCCATATTTTCCCCCAAGATGCAAAGCATCTCCCAAATGGGGAGACATAAAACATCTATGTCCTCACTGCTGCTTCTAAATACTGTGAGCCAATAAGCAATTGGTGTACAGTGCAAAATCTCAGAAGAGAAAGACTTCTCGTCTGCTTTTTTTTTTTTTTTTGGTAATATGTTATTATTCACACTTCACCTTTACTTCCTTTAAAAATCAAAAGTTGCTTAATGTTCAAAGCGATATCAATGGAAATTTAGCTAAAAACAGGCACCGCAACCGTTTATTCCCAAAGGAATATAAGATTACATTAATTTCCTACTAGTTTAACTCAACTTTTACCTTTCATCTTCACCTACGGACTTTTTAAAAGTTTGTATTCCTGTTGCACATAAAATTACTTATAATGTGTGTGCATACTAAAGAATTTTACAATTATATAAAGCACTGCACATTTAGACGCTACCAACCTGCTCTATCTCTCCTGACTGTGCAAAAGGCAAAAAGAGCTCAGTAATCCTAGCAGAAGAATGCAAATAACGTCAATGCACAGCTGAACTGCAAGCCCTGCCTTACAGGAACTCTCTGTGTCTGCAAAAAAAAAAAGACACATACTAAACAGGAAATGCAACTGAGCTGTGGAAAACCTCAAACTTAAAAATGCAATCGCCAGGCGAAAATTGCATCCATGCATTCATAAATGCATGCACAACCCTTTGCATTTTTGCAAGTAATGCAAATAGCCTCTTACCTTTCGACTGAGACATTTTCCCCTTTCCTTTGATGGGGGAGGGGAGCACAAAAGACTTTGCCTTGCTTCTCTTCTGTAGCTAGTTTTGCAACAAAGATGCAAGCTGCAGGCGTGCAATCTTCATGCAAGTGGAGTTTCTCTTGACCGATGCAGCAGATGGACTTTCAGGGAATCAAGATGGAAATGCACACCTTGCAAAACAGACTGGAAAGTGATTTTTCCCCCAGTTGCAACGTTAGGGAAGGCTGTGCTGCAGCTACATGATGGGCCAGGGCTGGCAGCTAAAAGCTCCAAACTTGGAACTGAGTATCTTAGTGCGCAGACGTCCTTCCTGCGAAGGGCGCGGGGGCCGCTGGGTAATGTAGTTCCGAGCAGAGTCCACGGGGCTCGGATTTAAGGAAACGTGGTCGCTCGGGTCGCTGAGCGGGAGGACTGGGTGCACCCAGATAAACAAGTCAGACATGCAGTCGGTAGTGAAGTGATGAGGCCAAAAACGGCGGGGCCAGGGCGAGGGAGCATTTTTGTTACGGAAAAGCCCCTGAAACAACAACAGTTGAAGAACATTAGGTTAGCTGAAAAGCATTTGGCTCGCCGAGCAGGTTGGCTGGGCTGTTTCGTGCTTGCAGGGCAGCACCTGTTGCAGTGTCCTTGCCCGTAGACGTTTTACCCCCCACACCTCCATTTTTTTAGAACAGTTTTCTCGCATGGAGCATTGGTTGGTGATTTGGCCTGGCTAGAGGTAAGATGACCCCTGGCAACTGAAGAGAAGATGCAGAGTTTTTACTAAGAAATGATCCAGGTCGGTTATTTTCAAGAAACCTGAAATTCATTCATTCCTGGGGGATGGGGGGATGGGGGGGGTAGTTCTCATTTCTTGACGGGTTGGAGGAAGTGCTGCTTTTTAGGTGTCCAAGCTAACTTTATCAGGGTTAAAATGTTTAGTTGCTTTTTTTTTTTTTTTCCTCCCCTGATGGCGGAGGAAAGTCCCTGGTGTAAGGGAGAAAGGGGGTGGTAATCTTAAATTAAGCAAATCAGGTATCTTGAATTTAGTCAACAAAATTAACAGGTATTTGTTGAGCTCCTTGGATGGGCCAGCCTCCTTTCTAGGGTCTTGGGGCATCCACTTGGCATATGTTGTTCATGGCTAGGGGATGGGCAGCAATATGGTAGACAGAGCCACCTCCTACGCAAGGAAGCCAGAGATGCGCAGGGTGATTCCATGCAAGGAATGAAACCGAGTCTGGGGGCATGGGCTGAAATGAGCTCAGACTTCTGCTTTACTGAGTAGACCAGACTCAGAAATGTGCTTTCAAGGTAGAGTGGGGGAAATGGAGGATTTTAGGCATCTGAGACCCTAACCAAGCAGGGTAAGGAAATGAGGACAGCCTATTCAGGAGACACTAAGGATACCATGTTGCCTTGTATGCAAGAGTGGTGGTGGACAGAATGTGTAGGTGAGGACTGTGCTGGGCGGTAAAGACCGACTAGGGACTAGGGGGTTGGGAGGTGGTGAAAGGCTTTGGGGGTGCTTAACAGAATCTAAGCATTGTTTTCAGAAAAAGGTAAATTTGTCCTCAGCTATCTCAGTGAATGGAAACTCAGAGGGTCTAGAGATAGGTCTGGTCAGTAGTGGGAAATTAAAAAGGGCACTTTGAAAGACAATTCAGGTAGATTTGATGACTGCAAATGAAAACTATTGTAGTTTTGTTCGGAATTCTAGGAAGCCAGGGCCTTCTGAGCAATGGATACATCAGAGGGAAGAAGGCCACCATGTTTAAGCTAGAAGTCAGCAAATCAGCTCTTAAAACAAATACACCGTAGGTGTTGGAAGGAACATTGATTTACCGAGGTTAATCTCCTGTCTTGACATTATCGAGAATTAATCAGGGTCACCTTGTATTCATATTGGCTTCTGTCCCCAAGTCGAAGGGGGTCTGTGTCCCAGGAGCAACAGACTCAGAGACTTGCTGGCTAATTTTCTTTCACTGTCCTTCTAGGCAAATCATTGCTGGCTCTTCCTCTCCTTCTTGCACACACCATCTCAGCACCTCTTGGAACCGGCATTTTTGTTCTCTGAGCCTCATTTAACCAAGAGGCATGTTAAGTGTGGAGATCTGCATCGGTGCATCCCGTTCACCTCTGCAAACATTAGTGGAGCACCTGCTAAGTGCCAGGCCTTGGGGTAGCTACTGGAACTGCTGCGCACACACTCCCTTAACATCCCCATCCCACCCCAGGGCCTGCACAGCAACGCAGAGCTTACATCAGTTTGCATTTTATGGGGTCAGCAGCATTGCTCTTAGATTGTCCCAGACGCCTTTCTTTATGGAAGAGTTCTGATCACAACCCGTCTAGTGCATTTTGTCCTTTGTGCTTGTGCTTTCTGTTCATGGCATACACAGTTCACCGCTGGCACATGGATTGCATTCTGAAAATCCATCTGCAATCCACATTCCCATAGAAACAATAATGTTCCACAGCCAGTGCACGTATTCACCCATACACCCATATGCAAAACACCTTTGACCGAAAAATTGGCTGCACCACATGTTTCAAAACACCAACATTGAGATGGCCGCTGGCTCAGTTGGTAGAGTTTGCAACTCTTGATCTCAGGGTAATAAGTTCAGGCCTTACATTGGGCGTGGAGCTTATTTTAAAAGATATAAATAAAAATAGCAAAAAGTGATCTTTTTTCTTTTTCTTTCTGGAAAATATACTTGTCAAGTTCCCACAGGGAATTCAGCCTCTCTTTGAAGTCTTAGATTCCAGAAGAAAAAAAGTTCTTGCCTTGGTCAATGCTTTCCTCTTCCCGTAGACAGTCCTGGGTGGTGGTAGAAGCTGTACCTTTCAACAGCCATGGGCCTTTCCTCTTCCTGCCAGTCTGTGGCGATGCTCCTAGATGCTCCTAAGATAGGAAGCTCTCCCATGGTGGTGTAAGGAAGCCAAAACAAAATCTGGCACATTATTCTTTTATTAGACAGTACCTCAGGTGTTTATCATGAGGTGGCTTGTGCTCCTGCTTCGAATCCCCCATCTTGAAAATGTTCTATATTGGGGCACCCGGGTGGCTCAGTGCTTGAGCATCTGACTTCAGCCCAGGGCGTGATCCTGGGGTCCTGGGATCAAGTCCCGCATCAGGCTCCCTGCAGGGAGCCTGCTTCTCCCTCTGCCTGTGTCCCTGCCTCTCTCTCTCTCTCTCTCTCTCTGTGTGTGTGTGTGTGTGTGTGTGTCTCTCATGAATAAGTAAATAAAATCTTTTTTAAAAAAATAAAATAATAAAAGCCAAATGTGATGCATTGCTCTCCCCACCCCCCAGCTTATAGTTGCCATCAAGACAGTGGCACACTCCTTGGCATGGTATAATTGGCTCCTTCAGTCCTGCCCACTGCTTCCTCTCTAGCTTCATTTGTCACCCTACGTTGATGCTATAGCCAGAAGCCAGATTTCTCTCTCCATTCTTTTAGATATACTGATCCCTCTGGCTGGCAGGCCTTTTCCATTCTCAACCCAGCTCATTCTGATCTGTGCTTGAAGAGTTAGCTTGGCTGATAACTTCTGACAGCCTTCTGTGACCCAGCACCCTGTGAACACCCTCAGTGTGAATTAGCTGTATTCTCTGATTCTGTAGTTCCCAGCATACACCTCTTTGTTGATTCTCATCATAGGACTGACAGGTGTTCATTTACATCTTTGTCTCCTCCAGGAGCCTGAACTCCTGAAGATCAGAAACTTATCTCTGCATTCCCAGTGCCCTGGAACTAGCATATAATAGGTACTCAGATGCATACTGAAACAATGGATGCAATAAATCGGGAAAGGACTTGTGACCATGTACAGCCTGCAATAACTAGATTCCAGCGATAGTAACACCTGCAGGGAAAACTAGAACACCTGGGCAAAGCCCTGTGCTGTCAGGTTAGAAGTGTGATTCTTGGAAGGATGCCCTTAGGTTAAGTCAGACTGGCTCTGAAAGAATTATTCTAGAAGTACATGCAGGGTGAGAAGGTGAGGGGAAGATAGCGTGTCTCAACCTGGGGTGATTTTGCCCTCACCCACCCACCCAGGGACATTTGGCAATATCTGGAGACATTTTTGGTTGTCACAATGGGGGGACGGGGGCGGGGCAGTCAGTGATACTGGCATCTAGTGGGTAGAGATCAAGGATGCTGATAATCTTACTGTGAGGCACAGGAAGCCTCCCACAACCAAGAATTATCTGGTTCAAATGTCAGTAGGGCTGAGTTTGAGAAACACTGGTGTATAGTGACACCTTGAGAAGTTACTGACATTCTTTTCTTTTTTTCTTTTTTTTCTTTTTTTTTTTTTTTTTTTTAGATTTTATTTACTTGAGAGAGAGCATGAGTGAGCATGAGCAGGGATGGGGGTGGGAGGGAAGGACAGAGGAAGAGGGAGAAACAAACTGCCCGCTGAGCAGGAAGCCCAATGTGGGGCTCGATCCCAGGACCCCAGGATCATGATCTGAGCCCAAGGTCAAGTCCATTTAATGGACTGAGCCACTCAGACACCCCGGACATTCTATTTTTAAGTTAATTTAAAGCTAATGAAATGGAGCCTGGGTGGCTCAGTCCGTGAAGCATCTGTCTTCAGCTCAGGTCATGATCCCAAGGGTCCTGGGATCAAGCCCCATGTTGGGCTCTCTGCTCAGCCAGAAGGCTGTCTCTCTTCCTCTGGCTGCTGCTCCCCCTACCTGTATTCTCTCTCTCTCTCTCTGTGACAAATAAATAAATAAAAATCTTTTGAAAAAAAATTAAGCTAATGAGATTTGGTAAGTGTAACTTTTGATATGAGGAAAACACTAGACTCTAAAAGATGTGAATTCTAGTCCTGACTGCAGAAAAAGTTAGCAGTGTCTCCTAAGGCAGATCATTTAACTTTCTGGTCCTCTTTTGGTTCCACTAAAATGAGGAGGGTCAAACTAAGTTCTAGTTCTAAGATCCCATAGCTGTAAACCCAGCTCAGTGTCTGATTAAAACCACCAAAGATTTAAAGGAAGAGAGGTGTACTATTCTACTTTTTACATTGGGATTAAGGGCTCCTGATCCCCTATTCCTACAGACCAACTAATGACTGTTATAACAATATCCCTTAAGAGATGAGACAAGAAATGTTCAAAGTACAGTTTGAAACATTGCCTTCCAGATAGCAACACTCCTCTGTATGTGACGTTTATGAATGTTTTCCAACAATGTCTACTAGATGTCAGAAACATGGGAAAGAAGGTGCCGGAGTTAAAGCTAAGAGTTCGACTCTGAATATTTACTTTCCTGGATTCTAGGAAATTACAGTATAAATAGGTACGTTATATATAATGACATATATTGGGAAGAAACATGGCAGGGCAGTTTACAGAACTGGATGAGTTGTACCTGTACAATAGCTTTTAGTACAAATTTTGTTTTTATTGCATTAATATATCACAATGAATTATGATTGTTGGTAGAAATTTTAGAAATCCCAAGATAGATTGAGCTTAGCTTCCAGTGCCCTCTCCAGTATATGGCCCAGCTATACCTTTTCCTCCTTATCTTCCATTCATATCCTCTGTGATTCCTTTGTTTAAGCAATGTGGTCAAAACAGGATTATTTATCCTTCTGAAATACGAATCTCCGTGTCACCACTTCTGTTCGTTAACTCATGCCGGTCTACGTCTTTACCTTATTCTGGCCCTAACCTAAGTCTTCATTTTTCTGGCATCTACCCCTCATTCAAGATTC